CAGACCTTACTTTTCATATTCAAAGATGAAGACGGGAGCTTGGAGCGGTCCCGGCGCTCCGGAAGGAGGTTGGGCTCTCCCTGGGCTCTCTCCCGCCGGGCACTGGGCTCTTCGGTGCCGGGGCGGGCAGGAAAGGCGCCTCTGTGCAGCGCTTTGCACAGAGCCGGGCCCCCTTTCTGCAGACAGGGTGTTTGGTGAACTGCTGGGCTCGCTTCATGTGTCAAACCTGGTGTCCTCATGGGCTTCTTTCTGACTAGAAATCCTACTTTTTAATATCCTCTTTTCCTTATGCTCACCTACCGAGCAATAGCCTAAGTGTAGGCTAATTTCACTGCGTTCAAATATCAAACGAGTGAAATGCTCTGATTTCTCCGTTAATTTGGCTTCCGACAGCGCTGCCTTTCGCGAGGCCGGTGACCCTTAGGAGAGGCTTGAGCAGAAGGCTGCCGGGGAGAGCAGCAGCCCTGCACGGCGCCGCGTCCGCAGCGTGTGACTGACACAGAACGTGCTGGCAGGGCGGCGTGGGAAGCGGTAACGGGTTCAGCTGTTTGATCTTTCGACTGTACTTTTGCTCATATAAAGTAGCTCTGATCTATTTGCTAGTGTTTAGGTGTGTATAATGCCGTTTACATGGTAACCAGGGCTCTGCATATTTGAAATACAGCACCAGTAGCAGATACCACCCAAAATCCTGTATTCAACCTCAAACCGAAAGGGTGAAGAAGGGAAACTACAGTATTTGCAAAAGACTGTTGCTGATAACAAGCTGTTCTGTCCATGTTTTTGTCCTTGCTTTCCCTTAAGTCGCAGCCCAGGAGTCGTGGGGAGTTGGAGCCTACATCCTTCCTTGAATCCATGAACTTGGAGCCAAATTGAAAACTTCTTGTACCTCTGAGCCTAGAGCCAAATTGCAGAGCTGCTGACAGGCAGCTCTTCACAGCGAAGGGTCTTTGACAGAGGATTGTGACATAAAAATAAGTTCTTAAAACTTTAGTGTGAAATAGCCTCAGAAACTGTAAATAAAATGACTGTGTAATTACAGGCTTTTGTGTGTGCCCCTCATGTGCTTCATTTATTTATTTATTTGTGTTAAGAACGAGGAAATGCCAGTGGAGTGACTTTTCCCTCGTCCCCTACTTCATGGTTAAAGCTTTAACTTGGTGCCTCCGCCCGTGTGCACAGGCTGGCACTGCGGTTCCTGGGGGACTTGCTGCTCACACTTCATGTTCAGCAGCCCCTCTGCTCGCTGGTGGGTCCTGGGCGCTTGGTCTTTCCTCCCTTAACAAGGAGAGAAAAGGAAAACCGTGTCAGCTGCATCAGTGCTGCCCTTGGCTTGGAGGCTGCCTCGGAGGGAGCAAACGGTTGCATTTTAACTCTACATCCTGTTGACAAGCTCGTTCTTTCCTATGGTTTTGACCCGGGCAGGTAGTGGAGGTAACTAAGGAGTAGGAGTGCTGGGCTCGACTGCGCCCCTGGGCGAGCGAGCGCCTCCCCGGGCAGCCAGCCCTGGTGGCAAGGGGGGCCCTGCTGGGTGGGCCCAAATAGGGTCCCTTTGGGAAACTTGCTGTGGCTACAGAAGGGCTCTCTTCTCCTTCTCCCAAATCAGTCCAGTGCTGGACTTTTTCCTACAGGGCTGTGTTACTTAGGAGTATGAATCCCTTCCCTATTCCACAGATTCTCCGACTACGTCTTGGATTTGTTTTCAGCACAGGCCAAATGTACTTGAAGTCAGTCCATCTGTTTTTAGGGTTTGTTAAACCTGTATTAATCCCAGCCTCTTGGCAGCATTTTGCCCCTCTCAACCTGTGCGGATTAGAAAGAGGTTTTGTGTGTGAAATTGCCAATTAACTGTTGTTTAGGGCTCTCGTTGGGCCAGAGTGGGCATTCGTGGCCACACTGTGCGAAGGGTCTAGTTTGGCTGTTGCCTGGGGCTTTTCTCTCAGTATTTTACTATTGGCTGATTGTTTAGATAGTCCATCCAGCTAAAAACTGTGTGTTTTGACTTTTTCTTCTTCTGGAGCTGAAAAAAACTCCTCAAGCTATATTGCTGAGGACCAAGCATTAAACTTCCTTATCAACATCAAGCAAATAGATACTTAAAATGAAAAACTGTCAATTGCTTTGGATCGCCTAGTGAGCACATAACAATTAATGTCATGCAGCCTTTATGGAGCTGGAGAGAGTCATTCCTTCCCAAAGAAGCAGGATGCCTCATAGGAGCGTGTTGCCCTGGGCAAGGCGGGTGCTTGGGAACCTTTGCTTCACACGGGGCAAAATAGTCCCGTGTCTTTTCCAGTGCACCAGAACCAGAGTTGCAGTTTCCTGATGGCTTTGAGCAGCAAATGCATCTCTTGTGCAGGCCTGCATACTGCTCAGCGCTTACATACGTACCATAGGTGCTGGCCCTGCACCCTGGTGCAGAGTCTTCCCTCTCTTGGTTTACATTACTGAGGTCTGTGGAAAGATTTCAGCTCACTGCTCTATGTCTGATTTTGAATAAGCTGACTGACATAATTAATATATGCTCTTTTCCTGTTCTTGTCCTGTTTTTTTTTTCCCCTTCTGCATAGGGAAGAATTTGCTGTAAGTCATGTTTCAAGGCATGTATGGTACAGCATCTGTTCTTGGAATTTCTTATCCTCTGCTCCAGTAATTTATGGAATTTTCATTGTTCATTGCAGGGAGGAGAAGACGGCCTCCAAGGGCCACCTGCTAGGAAAAGATGCAGCTTTTCATGCCGTGAAGGGTTCCCCCTTCCTTCCCCCCTAAAAAAGAGAATTCTTTTAGTGCTGTGTTTAGTGCTTTAGTGCTGTGTTGTTTAGGTGTCTCTAAATTAAGATTTTTTTCACCTATGTAGCCCTCATTTATTAGAAAATGTGGAGATTTGCAATGTACAATAGCTGCAAAATAGCTTAGAGTTCTGTAAGACCATTCGTGACCTGATGTTTTAGTGATCCATTGAACAAAACAGCTCAGATTGCACAGATTGGAGAGAAAAAAAAAGACCTAAGAACATGTAGAAGAGAATTCAAATAATGTTTCTCAATGTTTCAGAAAGCCAACCAAAAGGCAAGGAGTGTATAATCCGAGCAGAACTAATGTGTAAATTTGAGATTCTAGAGGGAAAAGAAAAAATAATAGCTGGAGTTGAAGAAACAGAGCTGGTCCCATGTCTTAGCTCTTCTGCTCTGTCTTCTGTGAAATTGGCTGCCAGAGCAGCTGTGGTTTAGTGGCTGATTTCTGATACCGATGGGGTACATACTTCATGCATAGGACTGCATCATTTGGTAAGGTGCTTTAATTTGGGTTTCCTGATTTTGAGGATTTGCGAGAGCCTTGAGCATTTATAACACTGAAGTTTGCTCCAAAGCTGTATTTTAACTGTATTTTTTTTGGCATTGATTTACTTGGAATTGAGTTAGTTGAATATCTTGTGTTTCTTTGGAAAATCTCTACTGCTATATTTGTATTCAGCTTTCTTATTCCTCTAAAGTAAAAGGAGCCTTTGCAAAGTTACAAGCTGGCTGTTATTTGGCTTTAAGCTGTGCAAACAGGCCTGCTTCATGTCGCTGATTTAGTTTTGTGTTCCACTTGTGCTCTCACTTGCAATCTGCATTACAACATACAGAAGCTGTTAAGAAGTTTAATTCTTCATGTATTTACTCAGAAGAATTTAAGATTATGCGAACATGTACACAAATTCAAAGTAAAAAAAAAAAAAAACCTACTTCATCCTTTGAAGGCGTTTCATAGGGAACTCGGAATGGTGGCTTTCCTAGAAGCTGTCACTTACTGGCTCTTCACCTCTCTTAGTTTTACTGTCTTGATTTGTACAGAAGTGCAGTGAAATATTAACTTATTTTATGTTTCATCTTTGACGCTTTGTGCTTTACTAAGCAAAATCTGCGTATCGCAGTATCCATTTCAGATTAGGACAGATGGCCATTTCTAGAGACTTGCCTAAACCACTAGTGAGAGACAAGGAATTTCTCTCTCAGCTTTGAGAGTCTTTCTGTGACCGCCTGCCCAAGAGAAACTGAGGCTTAGAGACCCAAGATTATTTTCTTCAGCGTGTGGGCTAAAAAGTGATGTCTCTGTAGGATTTGGTCCAAGTCATTAGGAGAAGAGTGGTGGTTGAGGCTGAATACCAGCTACTGCAGTGAGATCCTGAGGTTTTAGCAGGCACTTAAATCAGTAAGCGCAGGCTCTGGGTGCAGAAACAGGCTCCCATCTGGTATCTGATGCTTGAGTGGTGCTGGTTCTCCCACAAATGGCACTCTAGCTGTGTTTCCCTTGCACACAGATGTTATCTTACAGCTAGATGTTATCTTACCTTGCACGTGCTGTGGACTTGCTCTGACCCTTCCCAGACTGCTGGGCTGACCTCCCCTTTTCTCTTTAGCTTTTTTTCCTGTAAGATGGCAATGCTCAGCATGGGTGTAAATTTTGTTTTCCTTTACAGTTGTCAGTAAAGCTCTGTTTTAGTAAAGCAGTTGTGCATGATGTGACTGACACTAGCCTCAGTGCTGAAATGAGTCCTTAGCTATGAGAGCTGTTACTCTGATATAGGCCGATGGCTTTACTGAAAAAAATTATCACAGACTGGTAAAGCTTAGTCCCCCTCTGGTGCTCCGGGCAAATTGCTTAGCTTGTCTGTCAGGGTGTCCCAGCTGCGGACTTGAGTCATTTATTACTCCTGTTGGTCACAGGAATGTTGAAGGTCAACCTGTAAATACTGTGTCTGTGTCTTTATAGTGTCAAAGCAGTAATGTATAGTTGTAATTTTATTATAAATATTGGTTATTTTATTAAAGTGCAGATATTTCTAACAACATTCATGTAGGCTAAACTCATTTTGTCAATAAACCAACATGTCTCCAGCAGTGTTAACTTGACTCTCATTCTCTTTGTCTAACAGCAGAGCCTAAACATGTAGTTAGCTCCATAAAGAAAGCAGCAGATGCCTAAAGAAACTTGTACTCTCTTCTTTTTTGATCCAGACTGTGGACATCCATAAAGAGAAGGTTGCTCGCAGAGAGATAGGCATTTTGACAACCAACAAGAACACATCAAGAACTCACAAAATCATCGCGCCGGCGAACATGGAGCGGCCTGTAAGGTATATTCGAAAACCTATAGACTACACAGTGCTGGATGATGTTGGCCATGGTGTAAAGGTAAGAACACCTGGAAACTTGAGGGTTGCAAATAACACAGAAGAGGAGATAGGGTTGGGGTGGGCTGTTCCTAAAGTGCATTTACTGATATGGTAGGAAGGGTCACAGGTTGCAGCCACATATGAACTTTCACTAGCAAAAGTGGATTATTTTGCACAGAGTGCACTTTTTGTTGGAACAGTGTGTGTCATAACCTGGTGATTGTTGGTGGTAGTGCCAGTGTCTGGAAACCACAGCTCATGATCTTGATGGGCATTTTATAGAGGCATCATTAGCCTAATGACTTGTCAGAAAAGCCATGACTGACTTCTAAAATTTTCACTCCTTCCACTTCTGAATAAATTTCCTCTGACACTCCCCTTATCTCTCTTTGGTATTGAGAGAAATTAAGAAGTCTTGGGAAAAATGGCTGGTAGAATGTTTCTGGTGGGGTTTGTTTGTTTTGCAGGGGGGTGGGAAGTCAGCTAAGTCAGCATTGAAATCTCAATGACATTTGTTATCTCACTTATTTGTACATTTGGGCAGCTCGTTCTCCCCCTCTGTAAATAAAAGCTTTTATAAGTTAATGGGTACCCCTCAACCACCCTCTACTCTGGAGTGGTTGTAGCCAAAGTGAGTTAATTGGCACCCTTTGCTCCCTGGACATATTTTAATAGCAGATAATAGCTTGGTATTTCCCCTGAGCAGGCCTTCAAGGTATACTCAGTTCAAAACAGTCTTCCTTTGAACAGCATTAAAAAGCTTTTATTCAAGACCCGTGTTTCCTCTAACACTTAATGTGCTCTGGCCAGTTGGCGGGGCAGCCAGATGAACCCTTCGTGTGCCACTTGAGGGGATCAGCTGTCGAGGGGCAGAGCTTTCCGAATTCCTCTGCACAAGCAGTGGCGGCCCCATGGGTTTGGTGACCCTGGGAGCGCTCCGAGGAATTCCACTTCCAGCCCAGGCTAGTTGACTTGAATGTACCTCTAGCCCATGGCAGCTTTAGGGGTATGAATTAGTGAAAGTCTTGTGCTGTTAGCAAAACCTGTGTCTGAACTCGTAACTTTTAAGGTTGTTTTACACTGAAAGTCTAAGCTAGAGTGGATGGAGTGCAGTCCTGTAAAGAAATTTGAGACATGGCCTAAATTATTATAAAATCAAGAACACTGGAGTCAGAAGTTGTTGTTTATTATAATGTCTGCATGTGAGAAGAGAGCTCTATGGAAAGCAAATCCTACAATCCACGAATCCAGTTATCAGCTATTCATTTCCACATCTAAGTGTTCCAGGGTCAGGTCCTGGAAAGGACTCCTGAAAAGTAGAATAATTACTGCTAGTCTCCGAAGCAGATGCCTTTCAGAGCAACTTGCAGCATGCAGGCTCAAAACTAACTGCTTGATCCATAAACCCTGACGTTTGCTGTGAAGTTAGGCTATATCGCATTTTCTGATATGACTGCTTGCTTTTGGGAGTGCTCTTGCCTTTATTTTAATAACATGATTCTGTCACCTTAGTGGGGGAAACTGATGTGCTGTTTGCCTATTTCTAGGTGGGTCTGAGGAAATACTCTTAATGGGTGTTTGGGACTTTTTACTCTAAGTGGTTTAACTTTATATTAAAAAACTTGGTCTGTGCAGAGATAGCTTCTAGAAATAAGCCAATTAGGATCTTGTTACAAATCAGATACAAACTATGACTGACTACAGTTCCTGTACTGGGTGACTTGCCGGAGTCTGGTTTATGGCCCCTCTGGAAGATCAGAAGCACTGATGGGAAAGATGAGGTTGGTGTCTGCCATACGATCAAAACCAGCCTCCAGCCCAGCCTCACGTGTACAGCTCGAAGGGAACTTGCTTGTTGTGTCCACAGGCCCCCATGCAGATAGTGCTGTTTTGAGGAGCTCAAATCAAAATAACTTGAGATCTGTCTCAGGTCCCCCTGGAAGTTGGCACAAATAACAGATGGCCATGTGTCTGTGTTGCATCTTGCACCTACAAATTAGGAGGAAAGGTATGAAAAATTGCATTACAGACTTTGATACATCCAGCATGTCCTTAGAGGAGATTCAGACTGTTTTATGTTCTTGACCAAACACTTTTTCCCCAGGTTGGTGGATGCTGGTGCGTCTGCTGAGGCCTTATTAGAAACCATTTTTATCTAGAGGAGGGGGAAAAAAAATGCATTCTGATAGAGGAGCTGTCAGTATGACTGACTATATGTCCTTGATTCTCTTCTGCTGTGGTAGCTGTCAGTAACGTAGATATGCTGTAGCACATAGGTTGACACTTAAGTATAAGAACATATATGTATATTTTTTATACTTAAACTATAACCCACAAGTTGACACTTATTATTTAAATGTGTGCATATATATACATGCATGTATGTATATATGTAAGCATTATATATCTATATATACACACACACACGCACACATGTCTATAAAGTCAAAACCAGCATGCCTTTTGAAAATGGTTTGCTAGTGACAGGGCTTTCCCTCCTGACACACGTGTTGTGCGCGTGGCTCCGGGAAGCTCCCGGGCAAGTGCCTTGGCCAGGCTGCAAAGTATTTTCTGAGTCGTCACCTTCTGGGGACGGGGGAGCGTAGCTGAAGACATTCCTGGTAAAGCAGAGAAACTGTCGTGGTGTGAGGGGCCACCTTCTGTAGAAATCCTGGTTTAAATCTATTAGGTAGATGTTACTTTAACACTTCCTTCCTTCTCTTCCCCTTCTTTTGTGGAGGGGGAAAAAAAAAAGCAGTTATGTGCCAGCATATAAATAGGTCAAATACAATTACTCATACAGAAAATGCTCAGTTTAAGAGGAGGGAGAAGGAGGAGGGAGCTTGAAAGCAGTCTTAAAAGCCCTGAAGTTGCCTTTAGAATTTATTACTTTTTTTTTTTTAAGAAAAGGAGGCAGGTAGAGTTGCAGCAATTTGTAAGATGGGAGCTGCGTAGCTCCTTACCTTAATGGAAAAGATATCTTATAGCAAGTGGAGATAAAATGCTGAAGTGTAATTGGATTGAGTTTATTATATGCAACTATCAGTTCTTCTAAAACAAATGTGTACGAACACTGAGTGTTTTTCAGCTGTGTTGGAAGTAGAATTTTGAAATGTCCTACCCATAAAACGTTTGCATTTCAGTCCACTCACGCCGTAGGGAGCTTTCTGGGCGAGGAAGACGAGCAGGAGCTGAGCACTCAAATACTACGCGAGGAAATGGAGGCTGGGAGGGCTCTCGAGGAGCAGCTAGAGCCCAGCCGTGCCGAGCGCTCCGTGAGGAGGAGCGCGGTGCTCCTGACCGGTGTCACCGCTCTGCCTGCCCAGCTCGTCTGGGATATTCGTGCTCAGAGCTCTGTTTGCCAAGCAGAAATGCAGACGTGATGCTGTGGGGGTAGGAGGCTGCCTAATCGCTGCTTGCTGTTCCCTGCAGGCGAGGAGCTTTTATGTGCTAGCCACTTGCATATTAACTCTTAAATAATGCACTGGGAAAAAAAAAAATGAAGCAAGCCAGGGATGTTGAACTCTGGCTCCCTTGATACTGTATTAGCCTGCATTAGATACACTTGCTTCAAAGGAAGTTATGTTTCCAATTTCATCGGTGTCCCATCATCATTCATAGGATAGCAGCTAAATGGTAAATACTGCAGTGAGTAAAGAAGGTTTTCTGGGGGAAAAGGTAATTTTCTCTCCCAGTTCCAAAACTTCGTTGTGAGTGCTGCTACTAGGTGTCTTCCGGAGGACACTTGTTCCTGGAAATCCAGGAGTGTGCCTGGTGTCATCTGATAGGAGGTACACTTCAGGTCCTTCTGATTGCCAAAGATCTTGACAGTGCATGGACTCTTTTATTTCCTAGTTTTGAAAAAAAATAGCGTAGCTGTATTCAAACTGCTTGAATGCCTTGGGTTGGTAATTAAAATTTGGGTTGGTAATAAAAGGCAGGAGTCTGAGGTAGGTTGCTCTGAATAAGAAGACTATAAGTAAGCACTGAGGAAGCAACACTGAGTTTGCCCATCACAGTTTGACATGTAAAAACATATCATAAAAAGTAAGATGCAACTTGGAAAATTTACCTGCTCAGTTTGGAAATCAGAAAAGGAAAGAAAGGAGAGGAAAGCAGTAGTGACAGGTGACATCTAGTTACTATATTAATAGAATACAATGTAATTACTGGGTTGCAAATAACAGTGGAGGATATTCTGAGTTAAAGATAAAATTTCAGCAGAGGGGGGAAAAAAGAAGCTATGGAGAGTTACTACGCATGCTCAATTTTAGGAAAAACAATGATTTGAAGCCTAAATTTTCTCAAAATTATCTTTTTTTATGATAGCCTGTAAGGGAAAGCTATGGAGAGTTACTACGCATGCTCAGTTTTAGGAAAAACAATGATTTGGAGCCTAAATTTTCTCAAAATTATGTTTTTTATGATAGTCTGTAAGGGAAAAAAAGAACAAACAAAAGCTTCTGTATCTTTCTGATAAGGAAACTGAGTTGCAGGGATGATTTAAGACTGCACAGAGCTAGTGGCAGAACAGTGAGTGCCATCCTTGGTGTCTGACTCCTACGTACAGTCTGCCTTTTCAGAAAGCATCTTTGATTACACATGCCCTTCTCCCAAAGTCCACATCTTCATTTCTGGAAGGAAAAAATGTGAGGGGGGTGGGGGGCACCTTGTGGACTCGGTACTTTCCTGTATCCTTTCCTCAAACATCCCGTACTTTCATGTGCAAACTGCTATTCCTGCCCTGATTGTGTCACCTTGCAGTGCTCCAAAACTGCTCCGCTGACAAGACAGGGGACAATCCTCATGCAAAATCCATGAGGACGATGGTGGGGCAATAGGATTTCCTCACTGTAGATCCATAGTAGCACTTCCAAAGGTGTTATGGCCAGCTCCATTCCGTAGTTATGTCTCATATAATTCTGTGTTGACTAGTAAAAGCATTTACGTTTATAAGTAAAATGGAAGATGGGCTACATAATTGTTGGGAAGATCCTATTTTTTCCTCAGTTGCAGTTATTGACTGCCTACTGCTCAGAGGTAATGGATTGGCTTTAACCTAAGGCCAGTTATGGCTTTTACAGAGGATACATACAGAAGTCCTGAGTTTAGACGATTTTTTATTACTGCAGATTGGACTGTGGCAGTTTTTAAGCATTTATTTATATTGATGGGAATTTGTATTGATTTGTTTTTAATAACTGCTTCCAGTAACCTCAGGTATGGCAGAATATACAGTGAAATTGTCTCCTTAAAATTCTTGGAGAAATAATAAGCCGCATACAGCATGAAAAGTGCAGCCAATGTGCCTAGAAAATTAGTTTCTGTGATCCAGAACTGGGGAGTTCATAGCTGAAATGCATGGGAGAAACTTCTGGGGCTTCAGTGCAATGAGGATTTTGCTTCCATGTCTCTGCTGTGCAAGTGGGCTTCTGTATTTCTGTGCTCATAAATACATAACTCATTTATGTGAGCACATGTGCCATGTCCCTAGCCTTAGTTTTCCAAACACAGTTTGTAACTTGAATAATGGCTTCCTGGTTCTCCAAATCATGACTAATGTTCCCTCATGACTTGTTATTTGGCATGGAAACTATTAGGAATAGCTGTCTGCTTCTTGAGGCCGCCCAGGGGGGTCCTTCAAGTGTCTGGGCATCCATTGCCCATTGGTGGATACTCGGAATTGCTTCAGACCCTGCTCTGGTGGTGTTTGTGGCCTTGTCCCTGTGGTCTCAATAACACAACCCTGCAGTGCTGCCTTGGCAGTTATTTTTGCACTGTTTAGAGCACCTGAACTGAGCCAGCTTTGTGGAAGTGCCCAAAGCCTGGTGGATGAACTTGGTACGAGTTGTTGTGCTGATGTTCCCTTTCCACCTGCCTCTGGCCCAGAAAGTCCACCACATGCATGCAGCGACTCTTATTTCTCCTTGGACCTCTCCTTTCCAACTTTCTAGTTTCTTTGAAGCTCCTGTAACTCTGTTCTTGGTTTTCCTCATTTTCCTCTGTATCTGGGTAAGGTGTTTCCTTGCAAATACAGATTGAACTGTCAGTTTTGTGGACAAGTTATAGATCTGCTGCTGGACTTCAGAGCCCTCATCTTTGGTCTACATTAATATTTCAGTGTATGTTCCTGACATCTCCTTGTGGACGTTTTTTCTTATATCACCATTATATTTCTATCAGTATCTATTAACAGTACTGCTGTCCTGTTTGTTTGCTGGGTCTTGCTTTTTATTTAAACCCTTTTATGCCTTAAAATTTGAAATTTAATAACCTTTCCCGTATTAAAAGAAGAAATAGGAAAAAAATGTTGCCGCTATCAAAACTTGTTGTGAGTGACGGTGTGTGGACCCTGAGCTCAGTGCAACTGGGACTGAGCATGTGCTGGCAGAGGGGAGTTACCTTCTTTTGTGGCACCTATGGTCATCGCTTGGGTGTCCCAATTTGTCCCATCCGGCCACACGGCTAAAACTGAGTCCAGGTGCTCTGAATTTGCATTATCAGCTCCAGAGCAGCTTGCTTGTTCATTTGTTTTGGTTTTGGTTTTTTTTGTCTGTTTGTCGTTAGTATTTTTCTCTTTGAAAAACGCCTTGTGCAGCTGCTGTACGCACTTGCTTTGCCCATTGCCTTAATTGCTGGCACTGAGTCCTCCTCCCGCTCGGTCTCCCTCCCTGTCAAGGCCTGCAGGCACCTCACCACCCTAGCTGTCAGCCTTTGCCAATGCAGAGTCTTGGACTCCTATTTCTGGCCTCTGACACTGGCTGCTGTCTCTGCACGCTGTCCTGGGCTGCCCCATGCTCGGAGGGTTTACCCAGGAAAAGCCAAATAGCTCTGTTTACTGCTCTGAAATGCCCCGCTGCTACAATGCTCACAAGAAACAGCAGCGCGTGCCGCTGCCTACTGTGCCCTCTTGTTGCTGGCTGTGTCCTACGCTGTCTAGTTCCCTGCCCAGGCATCACAAACCCCCGCAGCAAGCCTGCGAACTGTGTTTTTGTCCTAAAAGAGGATGGCATCCAGGAGGCTGGTGCCCTGCTGACAACTGTGTGCTGCGAGTGCTCCAGCGCAGGCAGCGAGAGGAGCAGAGCACCGTGTTCCTCACAGCTTCCACGCGCGCGTCCTGCGCCTGCCAGGGGCTCTGTGGGGCTCTCTCCTGACCAGACTTGGTCCTTTTGCACCTTTCTGTCTCTTACCTCATAGCTCGCTCTTGCTAAAGCCTCTTCCCTATTCAAGGTGTGAACCCTGAGCTTCCTCTCCTCCTCAGGGCCTGCCCTTCCTCCCCTCGTGCTGGGGCTGCTTTCGCGAGCGCTCATCAGGCAGTGCTGGAGGTGCCCTTGTTCTGTCTTCTAAATACGCCCCTGCTTCTTCTTTGGGTTTTCTGTCATCTTTTCTTCTATTTTCCTTAAAAACATATAATGGGTCTAAACTTTGCTGTGTAAAAGGTTCCCAGAGCTTTCCTTGAAGTGCTTAAAGCCCCTTTTTTTTTTTTTTTTTTTGTGAACAAGAAATCTGGCAAGATTGTCCTTACATGCTCAGCCAGTAAATAAAAGAAAAAGTCTTCTAATTAATTAACTTATTAACTATGAATGATTAAGTAGTCATATGGTTCATATCGCATTCATTTGCTTTCTTCCAAGAAAAAGTCTTCTAATTAATTAACTTTGCTTTCTTCTCTTACTTCTGTCTTCTGGATCAGGAGTTCCCCTCCCAGCAGAATCTCTCTTCCCTCAATATTCCTCCCTTTTATGATTCCCTAGCCCTGAGACTCTTCTTTCCATGGGTAGCAACAGAGAGGGCACTTGCAGAGCGAAGCAGTGCAACAACAGTTATTGTTTCTCCTGTACAATAAAAAAGCCTGTGAGCATGCATGCACATATCTACCTGTTTGTGTGTTACCTAGTTGATAGCAAAGAGATCAAGGGCACCTGATGCAGTGGTGGAGATGAGATTAAAGGTCAACAGCTGTGGCCTTCGGATATGTTTGATATGTTAAAAAGTGCGGGACAAAGATGAAGATTCCTGCATCCCTGCTAGATGTTGGTGTTCACGTTGGTGCTGCTGTGGAGCAGGATGTAACCGGCCTCCAGGAGGGGGTGGAAGAGGCCCCGTAAGTGCACAGGACAAGGAAAGAGAGGAAGCTGCGCTATGAATAAATGAATATATATGCACACACACATTTGTGTGTGGAGAAATCCCCTGCTACTCTCCCTTTTGAGCCTGTAGAAGAAGGGCTTGGAAAGGAGGGACAGTTTCACTTTTTGGCCTCTTCAGGGAGCAAATTCCTTGCATTATGTCCCTTGCCCTTGGAAACGGAGAAGTAAGAGGAAAGGTCACATACTCCTATGAGAGGAGAAAACAAATTAATTGCTCAAAGGCTCATTTTAAAATTCAATATTTGGGCATAAACTGGCATCCTGGAAACTGAGCCTTTATCATGTGTATTTATGAAATAGGAATGCAGAGGCAGAAGTGGTTTAAATGGCTTAATTCCGCTGATGAACCTTTGCCCAGACTGGGAGTTAACGGGATGACCTTCAAATTTACTTACCACAACTACGCTTTCTCATTTGGGGTTTGGAACAGGTTTTCTGTTTCTATTCTTGCAATATGAATAACTTGAGGGCAGTGACTTTCAACCTCCCTTTGATTTGTAAACCCCAACTGTTTTCCAGTGGTTGTGCAGACCCTCTTAGAAACTACATGTATGTACTTTGCTGTCCGACATGTTTTAATTTATTTTTCTGAGTTCATGGACTTATTAAAACTACTGGCCTGTGGATCTTTGAGGAGGGGGAGAAGGTCTGTGGACCACAAGTTGAAAAAATTTACATTAGGAAATTTGTTCTAAAAGTAACAGTTTGTTTCCAAACAGCCAGTGAAACCACCGCTAGGGTTGCAATTTTCCTCAATAAAACTAACCCATTTCTCATCAGAAAGATGCTGCCCTCTCTCCCCTAACCCC